CCCCAAAACCCCAAAACCCCAAAACCCCGTTTTGCAGTAAAATTGAAAAAAATTTGGTTGAAATTTTATCAACTCTTACTTTGAATGAATCTTAAAATCTACTCATAAATTATTTTCTAAACATCTAACTGCTTCTCTCATGATCTCAACATCATATTTTTCTAAAAATAGACTGCCATCATCTTATTCAATAAATCCTACTCCCTTGAGAATAGACATTCCACCATTAATCTTGCCTACTCTCTTTTAAAAGGCTTCATTAGCCTGATTAATTCTTTTGAACTTGTCCTCAGTTGGATTATTAATAGCATTGTTCAAATATACAGTTAGTGTCTTGAAGCACGTTTTAGCAACTCCAGGCTATCTATCTTCAGTGTATAAGGTCTTTACCAATTTTATTCCATGCTTAACTAGTTCAATTCCCTCTAGAACTTGTTTTTATGGTTATTATTAGGATGTGGTTCCAGAGCTAGAATCGCCTGCCTTTTTACCAAATCTTTCCTATTTATCCCTCTCTAGTTATTCTAACATCCTTTACTTAGCTGCTAAGAATTCTTGCTTCTCTCTTTTTTAGACATCAAGTGCTATCTTCTTTTACTCCTCTTCCATTTTTCTCTTCACTTCTGACATTGCCTTAGCTCCATGAACTCTTTGTTTTTCTCTCTCCTCATTCAGTCTCTTTTCCTCTTCAGCTCTTTTCTTTCTTATTGATTCTTGAAGTTCTTTAGCTTTCTTTAGTTTTTCCTCCTTTGTCAATGTACTTTTTGGGCCACTTGTAGCCTCGCTTTGTCTAATAAATAATTTGAATTTGCAATATTTTCACTTACCCAACTACTTGTAATGCTTCATGGAAATCTGAATCATCAGAATGAGCTGATATCCAATCAAGAGCATTAGCAATAGGTTCTCCTGGAGTCGATAAATTCAAGAATAATGCTTTTTCAGCTACATCCTTTGTAAATCCAAGTTCAAGTAATTGATTGACATAACTTTGATTTACATATGAGCTTATTGAACCACCCTGAGCTTATATTCCTTCATTTTCAATTTGATTTTCAAGCATCTAGACCTATGCATTTGCCTCATTTTACTCGGCATCCAGTTGTTAAGCCAAAGCCATTGATTCCTCTAATCCCTTATCAGCATCAGTCATTACTGCATCTGTAAAAAAGGTTAGCATTAGATTGAAAATGAAGAAGTAATCAAATTGAATTGATATAGAATAATCCAAATCTTTATTACCCTAATGTTAAGTTTATGATTCCATTTTAACTTTAATATTATAATAGAAATTTAAGAAGTTAGTTTACTTTAAAAGTAGAAAATAGATATAAATCATAACAATCATGCAATTATGTCACTGAGCTCCATTCTTAAATATCAGCCAATAAACCTATCAGAATTCAGAAAATGGCACAAATTGCATCGTCCAAATCAAATATTTGCAAAGAAATTTGGATCTTCTAGGATTTACTTCTGTATTGATAAAATTTCAGCCTCTCTTTTTCTTTCGAGATCTAAATTTCTTTCAACTCTAAATTTCAAAATGTTTCCAGGTTTGATATTTTTGGGAAGAAGCATTAACGGAACATCGAGAATATTGTGTTCTGAGGAAAGTAATATTGCATTTCCATCTTCTATTCTGCCAACTGTATAATTCACCTCAAACTTCTTTTTCCTTCTAGTTGGCATTTGAGCTCTTACTCTTTCCCTGGCTCTTTGTCTTCTTTATTTTTCTGATTCTTCGAGATCACTATCATCAGCGTCATCTTCATCTTCGTTTGACTGACCCTCCTCTCCATCTACACTATCATCGTTCTATTCATCTGAATTCTCAACACTCTCATCTCCTTTTTTCTTAGCATTATTAATCTTGACCTTATTTTTCTTTTTGCTTTAACCATTATTTTGAGCATCAGAGTCATAATCTTCTCCATCTTAGTCGGAGTTTTCGCTGGAGTTATCAGCAATTGCTTTCTTTGATTCTTCTATTAGTGATTCAACTTCTCTCATCTATCTTTGCAAAAGTTGATCGTTGATTTCTTACTGCTAAGCTAACTGCTAGCTTTTATTAAAACTCTATTACATCATCATTAACTATTATTACTGCTATTGTTGCTATTATTATTGTTGTTGTAACATCATTTATTGTTATTGTGCAGCACGTCTGTCAAATGACATTTAAGCTGCTTAATCTGGTGTTATTTTGTATTACTGCTGATTGTCCCTAAATTTCCTAGTGTCGTCTCCTCCTCGAGAGTTATGAGGACCCTCGTTGTTCTTAGCTTAGATCACTTGCATGTGATTTTGATCGCTATCTTCCTCATCAGATTATTCATCATCATCCTCTGCTTCATTGTCATCTTCTTCTTCATCATCCTCTTCATCATCATCTCCTTATGAATCATTCTAATCTTCGTCTTCATCTTAATGCTGCATATGTTTTTATGACCTTTTCTCTTCTGTGCTATCCTCGATCTGTATTTAAAGGTTCTTTTTGACAGGCGTGATTGAGTTTTAACTAACATTTTAACTCTATTTCTTTTGCTTTTTATTGTCAACTTGAATATTATTTTGTTTTTTTTATTAGACCTAGTCATCATTATTATCTTCTTCTTCTATATATTGTTTCATGTTTTAGCCTTATCTGAAACTAAACATTTTCTCGTCATTTTCTTCATCGTTGGTTTGACTATCCTGCTAATGATCATTCTAACTGGAAAGCTATTCGTCTTAATCATACTACTATTACTATTGAGCAGAGATTTTATCTCGCTACTTGAAATCACTCATATTTAAATTTACAATTAACTTATCATTTTTTCAATTCCACTTAAATTTTAATTAAACTTCCATCAAGGGGTTTTGGGGTTTTGGGGAGATCGGAAGAGCACACGTCTGA